GATTTAGGAAGGTATTATTAGTATCAGAGTTAAATGTCAATTACGGTGGTCATAGCTACTTCCATGTCAGATTTTATAAATCAGTTCAATTTTTAATAGTGCTTAATTCTTTGACAGAAAACAAGTAAATCATCTTAATAATTTTAACATATAACATTAAAATTTTTATAATGCTTTCTTTATAATCTATTTCTATCATTTTAATTCTAATAAATATAATTTGGGTTCACAGATACATTTTTAAATTTAAATGTATTTTTTATGACAATAAAAATCTATAATTAAACATCTGTTTTCTTTTAACACTATTCAAATTTAATACATCTAATTAATAACATATGCATATAAAGCAAGCAAATTAAATTGTATTGGTAATTTGTGTAAATATGTTTACAATAATGACACATTACTTATCAATACAATTTTATTTAATCATTCCAATTTACATTACTGGTTAACAGATGAAATTTATGACAGATGAAATTATCACAAATAACTTAATTTGCTCAAGACTTAAATCAGAACAAGTTTCTTTATCACTTACATTAATATAATGCAATTTACTTCATTCAATGCAAATTAAATGTAAACAGTTTATAAATAGTCTTATTTACCTTTAGTATTTTGAAGAATCAGTTCATTTATCTTCAGATTTCTGGACATCAATTGGAATAACTTTTTCCTTTGAAGGTGGAGGCTCAATTGCTTTCTTTGGAGCTTCGATGACTAAACACCCATCGGGTGTAAGGGTTGATGTAACAGTTTCGGGTTCGGTTCCCTCCGGTAGCATGTACCGACGAGTGAATTCTCTGGAGATGAAACCATGTTCGTCAGATTTCTCCTCGTGTTTACCATGAATGACGATTGAGTTGTCAACAGCCTTTACGTTGATTTCTTCAGGCTTAAAATGACTGACGTTCAACTTCACTTGAAATTTATCTTTTTCATTTTTCACTTCAGACAGTCCCGATGCATCGATGTTCATTTGGGTTCGGGGTCGAAGGAGATATCCTCTGTAAAATTGAGGAGGACGCAAATCAGAGTCCAGCAAACCCATTCCAAAATGTTGGTCGAGCAGCGTGGAGGGGTAGTCCCATGTATCCCACCATGAATTGCCGCCGGTCAACAGAGG